AGGAATGAAGGTCCCCCTAACAGTATCTCATCTAATCACATTTTTTGTATATGATTTACTGGTAGCCTCGAAAGCCTACTCACAAACGAAAAGTTATGTGATCTTGTTTAAAAATCATTAACTGAGTAAAATTGTATACTCTTTTTTCAACAAAATGGGGAAATAAATACAGTTCTTGCCGGTGGATTCAGACTTTTAGATCATACTGTAAGAAACAGGGTCAATTTTACTGGCAGCTAAATGCAGTTCTGCCTCCTCGACATTCTTTCTGTAAATGTAATTAACTAAAATCCCGACATGCCTTTTTGGTCATATTTTCCATACAACCGATTGGCACCCTTTTGCTGGGTTTTGATTTCCGTTGGAGATGCTGATGTGACCATCAGGCGAGGTGGAATCCACAGTTGAGCCTGAATGGGACTAACATTAGCGAGACAAGGCAAAGTGAAATTCACTGACTTCCTGGAACCTACTCTACCCACAAACTTAAAAATTCACTTTTTTCATTGGACGGGGCTCATACGCCGACGCCTCCTTGGCCCCCACAGACGAACACTTTTCCATAGGATGCAGTGAATGAGATCATCCATATTTCAGGTTGAATAAGCAATATTTTTTTGGGGAGACTTTCAGTTTGTATGAAATGGCACGAACAAGAGATTCAAACGTCGATCTCACCAGAAGACGACTGCTGATTCCCGTTTCACTTTAATACGGCGTTCAGGTTCCGGGTTTCGTTTTCACCCGAAACGAGGGCGGATGTCTCTTGGACTGCGTTGTGGGCCCAGATCTCCTACTAAACGCCAATCGTAAATCAGCAGTCGTCTTCTGATAAGATCGAATTTCTGATCTCTTCTTCATGCACTGTCACACAAAATGAAAGTCTCCCCAACAATGTTAACTTGGGGACGTCATCGAAATTTAGTTAATATTCGTATCCAAATGGTCAATAACCAGTAGCCACAACTTATAGTTGGTGTATGTAAAAAAAGTTGGTTTCGAAGAATCCCTTAATAGCTTGAAGAATCGAGTGTGAGGGATTCGTAAGTTGGCCTCACCAGAAGCTGTGATTGTAGATTTGTGCGAATAGGCCCTCGGCGCCCCACACTGAGACTTCGACGCTTTCTTGCTGAGCTCGCATCCGCCATGTGACGGACATCGTCAAAAAAGGACATCATGCTTTACGATAATGCACCAAGTACAAATACAAAGGGTGCTCCGAGAACCTATTCGCACAAATCTACAATCACAGCTCCAACTTGCGAATCCCTGACAGTCGCTTCTTCAAACGAAATGAAACGTACTTCGACATTATGGTTGGTGTGTTCTTGATGGCTCGGCAACATCCGAGAGTGTTGTGATGCGCCCAGACGCAGAGCCCATCACACATTGCCCAACTATTTTCCCTTCACGACTGTTAAGGGATGATATGCAAGAAGCCGCACTTTGGCCTACCGTTTGTAGTAATTGAACGGCTTCAGGCGGGGCATCTGGCGACTTGTGACCTGCGAAAATGCAGGATCCAGCGAGCAGCTAACCGTCATCTGCTCCGCCTGCAACTCCGCCCAATTGTCGCCCACAGGTCCGGACAGTTGCCTCAGACGCCCGTGAGCACTGCTCGACTCACCACCGGCCTCGGCTGTGCCGACGAGCTCGAGTCCCGCCAGCCCCTCCTCCGGCCCGGCCTCGCGTCCGGAAGACGACAACATGACGGCCTCTTGCCCGAGGTTCGTCCGCACCGGCAGCCCAGACGCGAAATCTGGCGCCACAGGCTCCGAGTCATCGGCCCCTCCGTCTCGGACGCCAGCCTTGAACTGATTCGAGCTCGCCTCGTCCTCTGTTCCCGTCAACTCGTTGACGCCGAGCTCTTGCCCGACCGGACGACTCAGTCGGTCCAGCAGCGAGATGGGCAATGGTACCGGCGTAGACTGGCTGCGCAGATGCCAA